TTTTTATAGCTATGATGTTTATATATATATATATATATATATATATATATATATATATATATATATATATAATGTAAGTATAGTTAGAAGAGTGTGACTTAATAGGTTAGAAATATGGAATACGAGTGTGTTAACATGAACATAGTGAACAATGAAGCTATTTAAATATTTTGATGTTTACTATGAATTATAAATTATTACTTTTTTATTTAAGTATATGTTGGACATGTTAGAGTGAGATATTTCTTACTCTCCTTTATTTTTTATTGTTCCTTGTTGAGTGTGTTGTAAGTAATGATTATCATGTTGATAATACAAATGACAAGACATAAGCCTTGTGGGGTGTGCATATGCTCTAATAAGATACAACACCATTAGGCATAGCATAGAATTTTCTTATTATTTGAGATATGATTAATGTTAGACATTTGATTTGTTATGTTACGAGGACTCTTAAGTATTCTTTTGATTTAACATACATTGTGAATCTTGTGAATGTTTCTGAACTTGAAGACTATTATGGTTATTGTGTTTGAATTATTTTAATATTGTCTTGGGGGTAGTGAGTGTCACATTTAGTAGTATTAAAGTCAGGTTGATTTAAACTAAACTGTGTACTATGAGTTGTGACTGCGTATCCTGTGTGTATTCTAATGTGTGATTGGTTATGTGTTGTGATATGTTTATTTGCTTGACTCCGTTGTTGGTTTTCTTGTTGGATACTTCATGTTTATGTAAGAAGTAGTGGTAGTTGGTTGTATCACTCATATTACGAGTGTGGAAGAAAATATGCACAAATGTTTTGATGATGCCAAAGTGATTATAAAGCATTGAAAAAGAATCAAGGTTGAGCTAAAGCAAGTTAATGCAAGAACAAGATCTCAATTGGTACATAGATAAGTCTTGTCAACTTAGCTAAGTATGTAAAAGAATCTTTTGAAATTGCAAGTATGCTTGGCCTTGAGAATAAGTTTTCAAAAATCTCAAATTAATCTCTTTAAATTTAAACAAGTTTTAAATCTTTTGAAAGTAAGTAAAAATGTTTTCAAAAGACTTAACAAAAGCTTTAAAGAATAGTTCAAATCATTTCTTAAAAGAGATTTGTGAAAGAAATTATTGAGATGAAGTTTTCTACATAAAAGTTTTTGAAACAATAAAAATATGTTCTGGTAATCCATTACCAGACCTTGTAATCCATTACCAGAACAGGAAATTTCAAAGTTCAAATTCTGAATACAAAATGTGTTCTGGTAATCGATTACCAGACCCTTGTAATCGATTACCAGAAGATAAAACTTCAAAATTTGAATTTAAATTATACAACGTTTCAATCATTTTGAACTTTAACCGTTGTAATCGATTACCAAGTCTTGTAATCGATTACCAGAGCCTATTTTCTGAAAAATTATAGAAAGTTACAACTCTTCATGAAAAGACATAACCTAAGAAACAATTGTCTATAAATACCTATAATTTTTCAGAGAAAGGTGACGAACTCTATTGTGAAAATAATCTTTACAAATCACTTGGCCAAAATCATTTGCAAAATCTCTAAAGAGTTCATCAAAGATCATGAAAGTGTAATATCCACTCTTCAAGAGAGTCATTCTGTAATACTTAATAGATCATTGGATCTGTAAAGGAGAAAGGGTTTTTCTCCTTGTTGGTGTTTGAATCTCAACACAAGGAAAGGGAGTTCCGAGGTGTTGGAGGATTCATTTTCTTGTAAGGTTTACAAGAGTAGTGGAAATCTCAAGTGGGAGACTTGAGGACTGGATGTAGGCAGGATTGGCCGAACCAGTATAAAATCAAGTTTGCAATTCTTCTTTCGCTACACTTTTAATTTCTTGTTATTAATTATAATTGTGTAGTTTGCATCATCATTCATTCTTTACATACAAATTTGTCTAAGGAAATAAATTGATAAAGAAGTAATTGGAAAAGTTTTTTTTATAAGAGGAAATTTAGAAAACTTAATTCACCCCCTCTCTTAAGTTAATTGAGGCTAAGTGACTAACAACGAGTATGGGTGCTAGCGGTAGTGGATGATGCTTGCATGCTATTCTTTTAGAGACTGTTGAGAAAACCCTTATTTGTGTGATATTGAACCTTTTAATTGTACTTTTTGACCTCTGTGCAACTTATTCCTTCATATTACTTATTCATTTATCAAAATTCAATTGCTTTGCTTCTCCTAATTTATCATCTAATTGGTGTAATTCCATCTAAGTATCTAATTTATATTTCTATCACCTGTTTATAATTTCCTTTCCATGTGCTTGTTGAAATTCTATAGTTGACTTGGTTTGTTGCCTCTTAGTCAACTAAGACATAAGTATTGGTACGATCTAGTCATCTTTCAACCATGTCCTATTGATCTACATTGATGAAATGTTGTCCTTGATGAGAGTAAGAGTGTGGAGTTATGATTGTCAACCAAGTCATAACTTCTTTAAAAAAAATATTCAAGTATACATGATCTATTTTATTGAGACTCGGGAATATAAGTGAGTTGAGTGACATCCCTTTAGTTAGAGAATTCCTAAGTTTTTTTCCTTGAGGATACGTCTAGTAAACCTTGTGGTGTTTATGGTGCCTATGTGTTTGGGTGACTTAAGGGAGAAATATAGGAACTTGTAGAAAAATAGTTGTTAGGCCATGTAGGTCACCTTTGGAAGTGCTTATGTTGATAATTAAGGAAAGTGGAAGAGTATGAAGCTAAGTATGGATTATAGCTAGGTAGACTAGTGAGCATTATAAGTAAGTACCTTTTATTAAGATGGGATGAGTTGATTTGTTAGAAGAAATGTTTTTAGAAGTATAAGTTAGAAGTTTTTGTGAGTGCAAAAATCTTTGATACCTTCCGATAAAAAATAGTTAAGCAGGATACAAGTGAGATAGTTAGAATTTCTTAAGAGTTATGATTTAAAACTTTGAGTAGGAAATTCTTAACGCATCTACCTTGATGATTAAAGAGTAACCTTCATAATAAGTTAAAGGACCTTAGTGACACATTAGTAACCCTTAGAGCATCCTAAGTTGAATATGTTAGGGGAACTAAAAGTTTGA